AGAGTTGCCGTTTTGTAGACACCTGCCTGCAACGGAGAGGTTATGTATGTATGTATGTATATATACAGTATATGCATGTATAAATGTGTGTGTGTGTGTGTGTGTGCACATGCATATGCGTGTCGTGTGTGCATATGTATGTGTCCGTGTGTTTATATTAGTATGTGTAAATGCGCGCGCGCTCACACACACACACACACAAACACATGTGTGTATATATATTATATATATATATATATATATATATAGTATATATATATATGTATAGTGTATATATATATATATATATATATATATATATATGTATGTATGTATGTGTGTTGTATGTATATATATATATATATATATATATTATATATATATATGTATGTATATGTATATTATATATATATATATATATATATATATATATATATATACATTATATATATATACATATATATATATATACATTTATGTATATATGTGCATATATATGCATACATACTAAGTGGCGTAGATGGAAAATTTAACAGAGGGGGCAAGATCCATAGATTTTCCGACAGAGCAATTAGATTAGTTCCACCATTCAATACTGAAAGAAAACTTGAGAGTAACCGCTCGCCCTCACTGCCTGGCGATACAGTGGCAACTCTGCACTGATCTGAAATAGCACTAATTTTATACACAAACTTGCCATAACTTTCGTGTTAAATTGTCTTTAGGAAGCGAAAAGTTAATGTGACGGGGGGAAACAGAGAGAATTGGGCGAATTTAATTTAAATCTGCAAAAAAATTAACAAGAAAACAAAACTAACATATATATAAATATACACACGCATACACACACATACACATACACATATATATCCATGTATATACACACACACATATATGTACATGTACATATGTAAGAGAAAAAAAAAATTTGCAGACATACACACACTCTCTCTCTCTCCTGACATACACACACACACACACATACACTGTGTATATAGTATATATATATATATATATATATATATATATATATATATATATATATATAATATATATATATATATAATATATGTGTGTGTGTGTGTATGTGTGTGTGTGTGTGTGTGTGTGTGAATGTGTATATGCATTTTTTGTCTAATCAACGTCCGTTACCTCGTGGCGTGCTCCTCAGCCAAGGCCCGGATTCGATTTTTTAATCTGTCGACAAAGGACGTTTTTTTCAACACAAGTGGCATCGTTAAATAATCTAATTCTGAAGAAATATACGTTTTGGTAGATGATGTGATTATGATACATAAAAAACAAGCAGTTAAGAGATAAATGCTATTACGAAGAAAATTAATATATATGCCCACATTGTAACTATGATTTATGATTTATCGAATAAACTCAAAGTCGGTATATTTTCCATATTACCTGAATGTAGCTCAGAATATAGAATATAACTGTATGGTTGTTGCAAGGTATATATAAATAGGTACAAGCACACCATCTTGATAAAAATGCTAGTTAGCAACTTCTCAACTATGCCCTGCCTCATCACCTTTATTCATTGCAAATATGAAATTTTTCTTTTATTTTTTTCTTGTTTTTTTCGATGTTTGTCATAGTTACTGAACCATTTTCAAAGAAAATATATTGGAAAACACCATAAAATATCACACAAATTATTGGGTTCAAGAAAGGGGGCGGAGATAATGATGTCAACACGTTTAGCCAATGAGAGTGTACTGCGAGATGCTAGATATAGCTAGATACATAATAGCTAGATACATCATTATTTGTATCGTTTAGCAAATTCTGCTCTTTTATATACGATGGCGAATAGTTCCTTACAGCTGTCAGCATACTCTATGGGAAAAGTCACTTTCAATTTTGGGTTCAGTAGGCTTAATGGAAGTGGAGCTACCTAATTATACGTTCTTTAGGTTGTATGCCTTAAGTATATATAGGCCTACCCGAGATACTTCAACTTACATTTTGTCTGCATGGGCAAATTAAGTATAGTAATGCCTTGAAAATATGAATATATATCTAATAGACATAATAATGATCAAAGTCTGACGTAGACCAGATTTTATTTCATACACATCGATCACAAGAAATGCCTTATGCATTTATTCATTTATGCATGCAAATAAGATTTACAGTTGTAGTGGCTCTATAATCTCCGCCTTCAATTCTTGCTTTCCAAAGAGTTTCCAACCTCAGTTAAGGATTGTAGGATAGCAATATGGACATGGATTGTTTTCCCTGATATGAAGTTGAGTGAATGGCATGCATAATGTCCTTGTTCTGGCACACCAACAGAACCACAGGTGTCTAAAAATGGTAATTAAATAGATTATAAATAGGAAATATAAAACTGCATTGAAAAAAGATCATGAAGGATCTCTAGGCTCCCAACTTCGATTCCACACTGCAAAGAACTTTAGGTTTCTGTAGAGCTTCGATATATGATCACAAAATGTAAGCCAATAGTAGTCATCTTTATGATAACATTGTTTCTTCATTATGATATTTATTTTCCTCGTTGTAAGGTTTATATGTATGGTAGTAACACAATATAAATTGGATAATCCCTTTTCAGCTTGAATTAATTTGATTACAGCGTATTTTTATATTTTTAAGTAGATAAAACATTTGAATAGTCAGTTTGCGATACCTGGCATCTTTATGTTGTTTTGAGTTCGTAAAGTCGCGGTCGGGATAGAAGAAATACTTCTAGAAAAATATTTCCTGTCAGATTAACCCTCTGGAGTGCACTCGGAGGCCAAGTGGGATGAGACAGCGATATTGGATGATCTGAAAAGAAAGAGACAAAATAAAAAAATACACATTCATATGACCTTGTAGAATTGTTTGTGTGTGTGTGTGTGTGTGTGTGTGTATATATATGTATATATATATATATATATATATATATATATATATATATATATATATATATATATATGTTTATATATGTATTATATATATATATATATATATATATATATATATATATATATATATACCAAGGCCACTTCATATAGCAAATATCTTCCCTGGGGCAAAATCACAGGCGCGCCGGAGCGGTTGCCAGGCCGTGTGCCGCAGCCCGTCCGTGTACTGGCGGGATGACACGGATCACTTGACGGATCCGTCACGGCGGAAAGACGCCTGGATTTATGGATGGTTTGTCCTCGTTTCAAGTATTATTGGTGCTGCTGGCTTTGTTGCCATACTATAAATGGGGATGAGGTTTCATTTATTCCTCCAATAGATGCTAGGTTTATGGATGTGCTTGTGTATCGGACTCAGCTAAGCGTTTGATGCAACGCCGCAGTCACCTTTTCGTATGCATTTGCAAATAGCATTATACGTCATTCATTGTTACGAAAACGAATCGCAATTATTCCATCACTCAACTAAGCTGCCTTTCCATGCAAGGTTAATATAAGTTAATTATGAAGTCAAGGCCGCTTAGCAAGATGAGACTCTTTCCAGCTCCGGTTCAAGCACCTACTCCTAAGGTATATATGTATGGGCTAGGTTAGGTTTGGTTTGGTTTAGGTTGGGTTAGGTTTAGGTTGAAGTTAGGTTAGGTTAGATTTAAGATAGGTTATGTTTAGGTTAGGTTAGATTTAAGATAGGTTATGTTAGGTTAGGTTAGATTTAAGATAGGTTATGTTTAGGTAGGTTAGAATTAAGATAGGTTATGTTTAGGTTAGGTTAGAATTAAGATAGGTTATGTTTAGGTTAGGTTCTATGTTTAGGTTAGGTTAGATTTAAGATAGGTATGTTTAGGTTAGGTTAGGATTTAGTTTAGGTTAGGTTAGATTTAAGATAGGTTATGTTTAGGTTAGGTTAGATTTAAGATAGGTAGTTTAGGTTAGGTTAGATTTAAGATAGGTTATGTTTAGGTTAGGTTAGATTTAAGATAGGTTAGTTTTAGGTTAGATTTAAGATAGGTTACAAGATAGGTTATGTTTAGGTTAGGTTAGGATAGGTTATGTTTAGTTAGGTTAGATTTAAGATAGGTTATGTTTAGGTTAGGTTAGATTTAAGATAGGTTATGTTTAGGTTAGGTTAGACGGTTAGGTTTAAGATAGGTATGGGTTAGATTTAAGATAGGTTATGTTTAGTTAGGTTAGATTTAAGATAGGTTATGTTTAGGTTAGGTTAGAGATAGGTTATGTTTAGGTTATGTTTAGGTTTAGATTAAACTTCGTACTGCCAACTTCCGATTTGGCATCAAAATCTAGCAGCACTCAGAGAGCGCATACTTCCGCCAAGGCAATAGAGTCACTGACGCAATAAAAATATTCACATTTGAAGAATTACTTTAAAATTATTTTTTTCCCAAATACACTGCTGACGTCCGTAACCATAACCTTGTTGAAAGAGGTCATAAAGGTAATGATAATAGTTACCCCAATTTCCAAGGCAACAGGAGTAACTATGCAATCATCTAAAGAATTTGTGGATCCGGATCACCACCAAAATCTTATGGGGAAGGTAACAAGGAAAACTTTAAAATCCATCGGTCACACAAGACGTTGGAGATATAGCTTGTGTGGGTTGTATGGGATTACATACAGGAGTTGTAACGCAGGTCGTGAGTGGAGGAGTGGATCAGTGGAGGACCTCTGGCCATTTTCAAGACGACCTTCAAGAGGAGCGGTTTCTGGTGTTCCGAAGACGATGGCGATCAAGAATGTATACTTAGTTCCTGATATTAACAGAGCTGTTGTAAGATATCTTTCCTCTGTGTGTGTGTGTGTGTGTGTGTGTGTGTGTGTGTGCGCGCAGAAACAGAGAGCGACAGGCAGACAGACAGAGAAAGCAGACAGACAGACAAACGAAGCGGGAATGGAAATCCAGAGAGAAAAGAAGACTATATAAAATAAGATAGATAAACAAATTAGAAAACCAATACCTGATAATATCAATTTTAAATACTTTTAAGACTATGTGCCCCACTCGCCAAACTCAGAGACCCGCAAACTTCGAAAATAAAACAACTCTCCTTTCAACAGATGCTCTTCGAAGCTCCAGAGAAGCGTCAGCATAGATCCTGAGTACTCCGCTCTGCCAGAATGGTATAGAATCTTCCATTTGTTGCAGCTCACTCCATTTGAGGTGACACACCCGAGGACAGGCTTCGTCGACCCCCCCCCCCTTCCCTGTGCAGCCATGTTGATTCGGTGTTCAAAAAAACTATGGTTGACGTGTTCTTTTGTTGTTCTTCTGGCTGGCCTCGGCTTGGCTCAGGAGGTAAGTGGAAGTCGGTGTGTTACTACAAGATAGAACATATTTTAGTATCATTTTCAACCCATTTATAAATCATGTAGGTTCATTTAAGCAGAGGATAAGATTATACTTTAATGTAGTTTTCAATGTCATTCGTGAACTATGCATGTTAACTTAAACAAAGGATAAAAAATATATTTTAGTATTATCAGAGCAATCATAAACCATGCCTGTTCATTTAAGGAGGGAACCCGAAATCTAGCTTTACATTTAAACCGCATAAAACTGTAATGGAAGCCCTTTTTGGAAGAGTGGAGTTTAGTCTTGCTACGACAAGATACATAAAGTAGCTTAAATACCCACAAATGGACAATAAATACTCACAAACCACCCACAGTGTTCACCCAAACCCTCGCTCCTTCCAATAAACTTGGGAAGAAAGACATTTTTATATTTTCAGTATGTACTCTGTGGCCTTCAGCTGAAATAAAAAGTTATTATTATTATATTATTATTATTATTATTATTATTATTGCTAAAACACGATTCCACTGATCTTCCAGGAGGACCAAGACGTCGTCAGATTCGAACCAGCTGAATTGATCCACGTCATAGAAGGAACGGTTCATGAGGTCACGTGGTATACTATCTTGCCCGACGTCAGCAGGGTGTCGGCGTCTGTGGAGGACCCGGTGAGTGGTCGTTCCTGACGTCTCTCATGGACTGGACGTCGTGAAATTAATACTACGTCGTGGAATGAATACTGTATGCTTGTATTGGAAGTTGGTGGTATTACTGGAATGTACTGGCTCCGCGCTTCATGATTTAGATGTGATTAATTGTTGGTACTGAAGCCCATACCTTCATGTATTCTATTTAACTTATAAGCTTCATTAATTCACGCAGTGGATATTGTCTCGATAATTTCGCATCGGAGGTAAGAGCTACGTCATTATTCAGTAGTCCATCATTATTAACCTCAATGACAACAGTTATATGAATTATGAATGAGAACAGATGTGTCGCCTCACGTGACTTGCGGAGACCGATGACATTGAATTCCAGGTCTTTGCAACTCTCCAACCGTGGCAGCTGATTGCGTTTTGATCTGTTATTCCGTGTTGCAGACGGTGGCGGAGGTGGTTGGCGCGAGCGACGTGACCCGCAGCGCCCCTGGCGGCAACGCCACGCACTACGGCTCGCTCAACGTGTCCGCCCTTTTTATCGGCTACAACAAAGTGCGCGTCACGCTCTTCGATCGGCAGGATGTTGTGCGTGTTGCAGGGCGGTTCTTTCCTTAAAATTGGTGTTTACACACACACACACACACACACACACACACCACACACATATATATAATATATATATATATATATATATATATATATATATGTTTAATATATATGTATGTATGTATGTATGTATCTATCTATCTATCTATCTATCTATCTATATATATATGTGTGTGTGTGTGTGTGTGTGTGTGTGTGTGTGTGTGTGTGTGTGTGTATGTATATGTATATGTATATATATATATATATACATATATGCACACATTAATATCCATATGTGTGTGTGTGTGTGTATGATGCAAACCATACCTTAGTGAGGTGGGGAATGTCTATGTCCAACAACAGATTTTAGAAGGTTGAAGAATAATATATTATACACACACACGCACGCATGCATACATCTATGTGTGTATGTATGTCTATTTTTGAATTGAATAAAATTTACATAATTCCCAAAAAGACAAAATCGGGTCCAATCTCGCATGCTCTGTTCCCGCAACCGTTTCCTTTGACCTAAAACGTATCCAAGGTCCAAGTCGCGCCCTTTTACCTACTCAATTTTTCTCCCAAAGGTGGTCGGCGAGGGGACCCTGGACATGTCGGTGCTGCTGTCGTATCAGAAGCTCAACGACATTTTCACGCTGGCCATCGGCATCCTGGTCGCCGTCGTCTACGTCAACATGGGCGCCACCATGAACTTGGAAATCATCAAAGACATCAGCAAGAAACCCATCGGCCCGCTGCTGGGGATCGTCTGCCAGTACCTGTTCATGCCACTGGTAAGACGTCCATTTATTCATATATTTTCTTGAACTATTAATGGCGAGCTTGATAATGTGTTTATGAAACCCAAGTTGTATCAACATCGACCTTGTAACCTTTCTGCATAGGCGTAAGGGGGGGGGGCGCTCCTCCTCTAAAATAAAAGGGGGCGGGACCAAACTTCTGCCACCCCCCCCCCTTCCTCAACTTTCGAGGACATTTTCTTTAAACAATCAAACAGTGCAATTCCTTAGTTACCTAGTTGCTGAGAACAGCGACCCCTGCAACTGAGAGGGCGGCTAAAACTATCTGGTGTTCAAGATGAAATACCCATCATGTCAAGTATAATCTAAATAGAAATGTCTAGCATTTTAGGGCAGAAATTAATTTTTTAACTTTTTAAACTGCAAAAATCCAGGACCCCGGCTATATTTAGGGGAACCTACATTGCCCCCCCCCCCACTTCAAAATACCTTGTGACGCCCATGTACTGACACGATATGCGATTTTGTTTAAAGCGTACACTAGAAACTACAGTAAGTAGTACATACATACATACACACACACACACCACACACACACACACACACACACACACACACACACACACACACAACACACACAACACACACACACATTATATATATATAATATATATTTATATATATATAGTATATATATATT